TGGATAAGATTGAATCTTAAACATGTTTTTTGTGCACCTCTAGTTTGATACACATGTCTTTTCACTATTTGGATAAAACGAATATGCGTTAGTCTAATTTGAATTAAACTATTTGGTTGGAATATTTGAATTGGTTTTCAACAAAACCAAGTTATTATTTTGGATCGGTTGTGGTTTATTCAACAAAACACGGACAATCTAGCAAAAACAAATAACAAATTATCATTTATTTATCTAAATCTTTTATATTTAATATATATCTAGAATCATTTATTAATTTATGAAACCCAACAATCTCTAAATATTATTAAAAGAGAAACCTTATGACATCATCTTAAACAATCAAAGCCCTTGATTGTGTTTCCCTTATAGGTTTTCCACTGTTAGATCAAATTGCTGACATCGTCATCACCCAAGTGCCCTTTTAAGAGTTACGCATCTCCTTAATGATATTCAAAGTTTCCAAAATCGGATTTCATTCTTAACCTAACATCATAGAACTCTTAACCCTAATTTTGGCTCCACCAGTACATCTCCTCTTCTCTCTAAACCGAGCGACCACACCACTGCCATCGATACTGAGAAGATATTGGATTGACTGTATCACCGTTACCTACATAAATGATCCGGACTAAAAACATCCTTATAGGTATTGTTTCGAAAATCCCTTCTCTGTATAAATAATCTCTCTCTTCATATCGACTCTATGTGCTTTCCTTTCTCAGAAGCAAAAAAATGGTGGAATTATGCCAAGGTGTTTTGATATTAAAAGAGGCTATTCACTAAGGAAATAAAGGAGATAGCATATTTTTTTACATTCTAGGGTAACTGGCAAGCAAGTTTTGAATTACAATTTGACGTGATGCTTCAATCGAGGTGAATTGATGTCTGTTTACTCAAATCATGTGCGATCAACAACCATTGCCCCTTGGGGGCTGGAAAAGATGAAAATGCAGAAGACCATGGCGCAAACTCCGTTGTCGGAAGACGTTGGTGCGTCTATATCTTGGATTGAGACCTCCGATACCGTCTCCCGCCACTTCTTCTTTCAACCAGACGGCCAATTCTCCGTAAGTATTCAACATACGATAACGCTAATCAAATTTTTACAATTAGGGTATTCAAAGTGACATGATTTACGGTTCTAATAAATGTATCGTCTGTTGTTTATCGCAGAAGCTAAACTTTTTCATAACGCTTAACATCATGAAATTTGAATCTTGTGGGATATTTGTATTTTGGGTGAAGGTGCTTGACGATTCAAGACCAGTTTTCCACAAAATGGCTGAATCTTTCGTCAACAAATTCTTCCCCTCAGGTTTTCCATATAGGTGAGTTGATGGAACTTAATTTCACATAAAATTTGTTGAAAAGTTTCATTTCTCATATCATGTAAATTCCACCATCGCTTCTTACTCCAGCGTCAACGAAGGATACCTTAGATATACTCAATTTCGGACATTACAACACTTATCAAGTGCAGCACTATCCGTTTTATCAACTTAGGTCCTCTTCCAACACACTCCGTTTCTTAAATTCCATTTTTACGTGATTCATTCCATTGTAGCAAATAGCAATACTTAATCTTACCCCTTTGCAGTCACTGCTATATGCTGCAGGCTTGAGACCTACCCCTGCACAAGCAAATGCAGTTAGTTGGGTGAGAAACAACTTTCATCTCAAGAATTTGATCATACCAATACTAAAAGAACTTAACCTCACATTCTTGATGTCAAACAGGTACTAAAAGATGGAATGCAACATATGGGAAAACTAATATGTAGCAATTTAGGTGAACTTATGGATGCAGAACCCAAACGGTGGAGAATATTGGGTTTGTACATAATGTAAGTATTGAATGAAAACTAAAATTTTTAAAAAACATTTTTAACACTCATTGTTTCATTCATAAAGCCTGTGAACTTTGACTTAATATTGTAACTATTTCTTTTTTGTGTGTCTTTTGCAGCAGGTAATCAATCAAAAATAACCTTAATACCTATAGTGGTTGCTGTAAGTAGAACAATTTCATTGTTCTTATAATGGTCATTGTTAACAACATTCTTGCCTTAAGCACTATTAAAGAAAACACCATCAAATCCTCAGTTGTTACAACTCGATGCATGAAATATTGATTGTTTTCGTGGGTTTTAGTATGCCTGCGAAAATGATGCTTGGAATATTTGTAATCTTTTAGTGGGTTTAAGTAGCTTTTTCCCAGACTGAATAAAAGAAGAGCTCCAATTATGCAGGTGTGATTTTTCTTCACTATTTTTGTTGTTTCGATCCCTATTAGCTATCACTATTGAAAATTTGGTGTATTTTTATCTGCATCTCACTGATAAGCCCTTTTGTTTCAATCTAATTAAAGTAAATAATTTACATTTCAATCTAATTAATGTAAATAGTTTACATTGATTATAAAGTACTAATGCAAGTTTTTATTTTTCAAATAAATAAAGTAAATTACTGTGCTTTAAGAGACAAATGAATGGAAGTACCGATGCAAGTATTTATTATTTGTGTTATTGAATTTTATTATAGTGATATCTAATCTCTAATATATATTAAAATAGATGCCTTATGACTTCATTTTAAACAACCATAGGTTTTACTAGGGGTGTGCAATAAACCGCACAAACCGCATAAACCGCCCGCACCGCATAACGCGGTTTAAAACACTCGCGGTGCGGTTTGCGGTTTGTATTTTTGTTAAACCGCATTATGCGGTGCGGTTTGCGGTTTACGATTACACAATTACGGTTTAAACCGCACCGCATTGATAAAATCAATTAATGATTATATATATATATATATATATATATATATATATATATATATATATATATATATATATATATTCGAAAATATTTTGACATGTCCTAAATCAGTGACATTTTCTTATGTTTTTCAAATGTAGTCTTAATTAATCTAAAATTTAACGCAGTTACCATATTTTTTTTTTGTCTCAAATTCATTTTCAACTAAGATTCAGTGACCATTATTTTATGGTCACTATGTTTTTTAACTTATGTATATTTATAAGTAGTTAATGACCACAATTATTTGACCACCAAATTAATTTCTTAATGACCACTTAGTTAGCCTTTAGTGATGACAATGATAGTATTATCATTAAATTTAAAGTAAATAATTAGTCAAACCGCATGTAAACCGCATAAACCGCCCGCACCAAACCGCACCGCATAATGCGGTTTTGAACATTCGCGGTGCGGTTTGCGGTTTCTAAATAACTCAAACCGCATATACGGTGCGGTTTGCGGTTTGACTCTAAACCGCACCAAACCACACCGCGCACACTTCTAGGTTTTACACCCTTAGATCAAATTGCTGACATCATCATTGTCACATGTCTCTTTTGAAAAAATAACACTTTTTGAAATCCCAAAATAAATCTCCAAATTTGAAAAGATTTAGGGTTCTGGGTAAAAAGTGTCATAATTTTGAAACAGCAGGGACCAAAAATGTAAATTTGTTGCCTCTTCCCATTGCAAAAGTCAAACGTAGTACGATATCAAACAACAACCTTTCGACTCCAAAATCTCCCAACTTTCGACTTGAAATCTATGGCTTCCCATACGAATCATATACTTCCCATCGAAAGCTAAACTTCCCATATGATATTCGTCCTCAAATGACTTCGCATACGAAAATCAATTTTCGTTATCTGCCTTCGTCCATGGAACCACAATGCGAACCAGCTTCATATGCGAAAATCAACTTTTGTATTAAACTTTAAGCCTCTTTCCATACAAAAATTGGTTTTCGACCATTTGCTCTCAATCCTTAGACTTTCGCTTTTCTTCTTCCCTCTTTGGATCCAAATTCGAATGCAGCAGCAGTCAAAATATCAACCATTCGACTCGAAACTTAACTTTCGTTATCAGCCTTTCCTTCTTAATCTTTTGACTCGAATTCTTCTCAATCCAACTTCTTTCGTATCACAGCCACAAACTTTCGCATATGAAATCCCAAAATCAATTCGTTATCCATGGCAACACCAAACATTCACATCTAACCTTCACTGTCGAATTTCGTCCATCACAATCCTTCTATCATCAACCCAATATCGAAAATCCTAAAACTTCAAACTTCAACCTTCGATCATTCGCATCTAACCTCAAGATTTGTGTGTTTTTCATGCGTTCCCCCGCGTTTAACGTGAGTTATAATCTAGTTTTTTTAATATGTACTCCTCACTAAAGTACGTTGACCAAATGATATTCTTTTGGCCAAAATGATGATTATATTAAATTTATGCTTTGAGATAAAAAAAATGTTTTTTAGGAGTAGAGTAATGAGTGTGTGTTAAGTCGCTCTCAAAAAATCATGTACTTCTCAAAAGTTTATTATTTATAAAGAAATTAAATTATAATGTATCTTTCTTGATAGTTGTATATAAATTTTAATTTATAAATAGACAATTTGTTTTTACTTTTTTATAAACTTGTCTAATATATTTCCTGGTTTTGAAAACCGAATTGTAATTTGGTTGGTTCGATTCAGATCGCATTTGAATTTAGTTGGCCTATCTATAGAAATATGTTTTCAAAACTCAAATGAATCTGTGTTAGAGCTGCATATTGCGGTCCCATCTCAGTCCGATCATTTTCATTCTGGCCTTGCGGTTTTTGCGTGCATATTTTTCAGTTTGGTTTCGATTTTGAATTTTCCTATTACGAATTTGTGATTGTCACAACATGATACACCAATAACTTTATTATTATTATTATTTGTTATTTATTTATTTATTTAAATTGATATACTAATATCTAATAAGAAAAAGAAAGGAAGTAGTTGGTTAATATATGATTAACAAATATATAATTAACATATAAATTATATTGATATAATCCGATCCTTTTTTAAATCAATTTCGAAATGTTCCGATTTATTTGATGGGCTTATTTTGATTTAGATAATGGGCTCAACCCTTTGCTTAAACTCAAATCATGTATTTAAATCCTCGAATCAAATATCGTCCCGAGAACACGAACAAGCAATTGCTTTACTTCAATGGCAGCAAGCAGCTCCGCTTCAAATCCAATTCTATGTGCTTCTTTCAATCAAGATAACAGGTATTGATCCCCAAACTGATTCGAAAATCCTTCTGATTCTATATTTGATTTAGGTTTTGCTAACTCTGCAAACGAATTTAGTTGCTTTGTAATTGGGACAAAAGATGGTTTCAGAATCTTCGATTCGAATTCAGGGAGACTCCTATATGAACGAGGTATGTAAATTATGTATTCTCATATGAAAAAGCAGTGTTTATGCTTGTGATTGATCGTGTTAAATAGATTCCAAAATTCGAGAAGCTTTAACTGTTTGGGGAAAAGTATCTTTATGCATTTGATCTAAATGTACTATTAATTTCAAATCAAACAAGGTTGAATCAATTTTAACAGTGACTCAATTTTCTATTCCTCAGTTATTGGAGCATTTGTTATCGTTGAAATGCTTTTCAGCTCTAGTCTTCTTGCCATTGTTGGAGCTGGTGAACAGGTTCTATGAAACTTCCAAAAATTTCATTAAGTTCTCATTACACCACAAAACATATGTAATTTATTATCATAATTTTCTTTAATTTCAACAGGCTTCTTTGTCACCAAGGCGTTTATGCTTGTTCAATACTCAAACTGGAACTGCTCTTCGGGAACTAAATTTCTTAACTTCAATTTTATCTGTTTGTGTAAATAGAAAAAGGTGAATTATCAATTATCATGCTTTTACTTTCTAAACTTCTATATATTTTTATTCACATGTTATCAATTTCACATATAGGTTGATAGTGGTTTTACAAGGAAAGACATTCATATATGACATTAATAGTCTTGTTATCCTAGATACAATCGACACAGTGCCAAATTCAAAAGGTGATTATTCTTTTTCTTCTCTTTAATCTTTCTTCACATTCATCTAACACTTTTCTTATTTATTTCTTCAATCAAATTTTTTTTTTCAGGACTTTGTGCATTTTCACCATGTTTAGATGGGTGTTTTTTAGCTCTTCCAGCAAGTTCCACAAAAGGGTCTGTTTTAGTCTACAATGTCATCGATCTCCATTCACACTGTGAGGTTATAATAATAATAATAATTATCATCATAGAATGATTAATATATGATTTCAATTCATTATTTCATAACCCTAAATTTTTGACATTTGAAATACAGATAGATGCTCATAAATCACCATTAGCTGCAATAGTATTTTCTTCAAATGGAATGTATATAGCAACAGCATCTGAACAGGGGACATTAATTAGGGTTCATTCTGTTTCAGAAGCAACCAAGGTGAAAAACAACTATTTTGTTGTTTGAATTCAATTTATATAATTTGTTTGAATACTAATTTCCAAATTTTTTATTCAGTCGTATAGTTTTAGAAGGGGAACATATCCATCAACAATATTTTCATTGTCATTTGGGCCTTGTATTGGGCTTCCTGATATTCTTGTAGCTTCAAGCTCTTCAGGGTCTATTCATGCTTTTTTTCTTGGAATGGCTATTGATCAAAGGTGAAGAAAACTATGGCTTTTGTAATTGATCATCAAGGGTAAATTTGTCCAAAAATAGCAATTTTGGATGGAAAGTAGGAGTTTTGGGTAAATTTGTTTTGCCACATCATTTCACTAACTTTATGAAACAAAAATAAGTAGTACTAAATCTAGAGTCAAAAAATATATTGGTTAAATATAACTAGAGGAGTAAAAATGTAACATTAAATAATAAAGGAGGTTAATTGTACATTTGTACAAAACATAAAACTAAAAAAAAAATAGTGACACATTTTTTTCTTAAATTATATGTCGAACTTATTATTATTATTATTTTTTTTTCGTATATCCACCAGAAGTAAAAGGTCAAGTAGCTTTTTGGGATCAATTATACCTAATTCTGTGGGTGATGCACTTGATGCCACTCATCATCATATTCTTCATAATGCTGTTCCACCGGGAGTAAAAAGGTACTGTCTGTCTGTTGTCTGTTGTGTTTTTTTACTTAATGGACTTAATAGATACATGACTTGATCCAGTCTGATATATTTTTCTTAAATAATTTTAAACGTCATTAAACTTTTTCATAATATGATTTTTTTTAATATAGTTATGTAGTGGTCCGCAAGGTCGACAAAGTTGCTGACGTGTCACAATCGAAATCTACAACTTTCAGGTAACAGTACATTGTGCTTTTATTTTTTATTTTTTTTTATATATAAACAATTTATTAATTTAACATATATGCTATTTTTTTTTTCAGAGCCACAATATCTATTATTACATACAACGGGTATTTCCTTGAATATTTTCTTGACATCAACCACTTGAATGAGTCTTGTTGGACGTTGGATCGGGAATTTAATCTTGTAACAGCAATCTCTGACTCTGAAAGCAGTGCCACGTCATCGTGAGCTTAATTGGGTGGCTTGTAAACTATGTATAGCAATAATTATCTTGGCTTAAAATTTATAAGTTTAATTAAGCAAAACGTTATTTCAAAGCTAAAAAATATCGAATCATGATCACTCATGTGGTAATTATCGTATATTGACATTCAATTCAGGAGTATATAAGTCAAATATTTGGATTTCATATTCCAAAGCAACTTAACATATATTTGGAATGATCAAAATCTACGTTGTTGACATTTAGAAGGTTATAAATATGAAGGTAAGGCTACCTAATGAAATGATAATTCAAGTACATGTGATGAGAAATATTGAACCAAGAGCAAGAAACTGTGTTTTTATGGGATACCCTACTGGAATGAAATCATATAAATTGGTGGACCTTGAAACTAAGCATATTTTTGTATCATGAGATGTCACGTTTTCATGAAGATACGTTGCTTTTTATCATTAAGAACATAAGTTTCAAGAAAACCCTTTTTGTAGTGCACGTGCTTTTGATTGTCAATGATTATAATTCTGATTCTAAATGCTAACACAATCAATCAAATTCGATTTGCATGACAAGAATACTATCCCCACAAACCCAAATGAGCAAATTTTAACACATCTATTCTCTCAAGGTTTATAAGAGTTCGCACCCTCCTTCATATCTTAGAGACTAGGTGTAAGACCCATGTATTACATTAGTTAATTAAAAAAAATTAAATATAAAAATTTAAATATTTTAAAACTTTGGATTTATAACAAAATAAGAAAAGTAATAAATTATTAAAATTGATTTTTTTATCTTTTAAATTTAAATAAATAAACAAAATAAATTAATAAGCTTTAATTTGGGAATTTTGAAATAAGAAGGTAAGTCCATTAATGAAATTGATATTCATTTATTACTATATTTATTGTAATTATTACATTAAAGTATTATGTGAAATTTATTAAATAAAAAAACCCATGAAATGACATGTGGAAAAGAAATTAATCAAAAATAAACAAAATGACATTTGGCAAATTGAATGAGAGTGTGACATGCGGTAAAAAAAAATTCATTTATTAGAGTAGATTATCATTGCAACTTGGTACAAAATAAAGACCGCCATTCATCTAATTGTTGATATCATATATAAGATGTTCTTTTGTATAAGTAAGTATCCTCCAATTATCAAGCTTACTTTGGCCTCGTCTACTCAATTTGAACCCAAGGGGTTATACCAAGGCAGTTAAGTCAATTATAAACCTTAGAATTAACTAAAACATAACGGTTGTTCCATTTCTAGTGAATAGAACAATTCAGTGGCGACCATGGGGTGTGCAGGTCGTGCAATCGAACGGGGTCTCTGATTTTAGGGGGCCTCCAAATTTAGGACAAATCTATACTTATGATGTTAGTATTTTTGTAAAATACATTTTTATGTCTTATCATTATAGAAATTTAGCCGTGTCGGTTACTTATATGTACGATGTAACATCTATTTGCAATCCCGAAGTCATTTTACTTATGAAAAAAATGAAAGAAAAAAAAATCAATTCTAATCATAAATTCTAAAATTTATCACCAATTTAAGAAAAACACCTATATCCAAAGAAAAATACAAATATGTTAGAGTCTCATTTTAAAATCTTTGTCAACTATAAGTTAGGAAAATAGAATTGAAAGTGTGAAAGCAATAGTGACTCAAGCTCCTAAAATAGTAAAATATATGTATAAACTTGTTGATGAAAAAACATATATAAAGATCAAAAGTGAAACTACTTGTCTAGTAGAGTATAAACTTGACAAATTCGACCTTATAGTCGGTATGGTTATATGGTATCATATATTGGCTAAAGTAAATAACATGAGTAAACAAATTCAATATGAGACTATGCGTATTGATGAGACAATGAGTAGTGTGGGAACAATTATTGAGAAGGCTTTGGATTATACGAGAGCTAAAACTTATGATTTAGGAATTGATCCGATATTTGTTGAGAAAAATAATAAAAGACGAATTAAAAAAATACGTTTTGACGAGAGTAACGTTGGTCATCAGAACCGATACATGAACTTTCATTCATGATTTAATATATATTGTTTACATAGTTGATCAATCTATTGGTTCATTGGAGGGAAGGTTTGAACAATACAAACAATATAAAGACATTTTTGATTTCTTATTCAAAACAGAAAAATTGAAGTCACTGAATACTAGTGAGTTAAAGGAAAGTTGCAATTTTTTTGAAAAAAGGTTGCAAAATTATCATATCACAGACATCAATGTTAATAATTTATGCAACGAAGTGGAATTGTTACAAAAACATTTACCACTTGAATATAATACAGTTAACGAAATACTAAATTTCTAAAAAAAAATAAAGCTTTTAAAATCTTGTTGATTGTTCTCATTATTGTTGAATCAGTGAAAAAAAATGTTTCAAAACTAAAGCTTTTAAAATCTTGTTGATTGTTCTCATTATTGTTGAATCAGTGAAAAAAAAATGTTTCAAAACTAAAGCTTTTAAAATCTTTTATGTGTTCGACTTTTCTCAAGAGAGATTAAATGCTTTGGATTTAATTTCAGTTGAGAACGAATTTCCTGATAATATTGATTATGAAAGTATAATGAATTTGCTTATAAAAATGTTAGAAGATCGATGTTTAGAAAATAGTAATTCGTTGACTTTTTATCTTTTTATATTTTTTTTGAAAAGTTGTTTGTACCAGTTACAACTTATAACTAATCAGTGAATATATGATGTTGTGGTATTGAATTTACGAGATGTTTTTTTAGCAACTTTAAGTTTTGAATTTATAGATAGAAAATTAACTTAATAATACTTTACAAATTGAAAATTAAGGGGCCTCACTTTTGTTTTCACACAAGGCCTCCGACATGTTAGGGACGGGTCTGGAACAATTCTTAAATGCAAGTGGTATACACACTTAATGTTTGACTGGGAATTTGGTGACTTGAATAAATAACCAGACCTAAAAGGACGTGAAGAAAACCGAACACCATAAATTGACTAGATAAGTGTTGGGAGTAGGCTTAGGGATTATGGGCATGTTGAAGTATTTAGTATTGAGTATTTTTTTGTATATTGGCTCGACCCTATAGTTGCTAGGGTTTAACATTTATAAATACTTGTAGCTTGGGATTCCAGTGTAATCACTTTTAAAACTGTCTAATAATACAAGAGTTCTTCTATTCTTGTCGGTAGACATGTCACATCGACCGAACCACGTTAAATCCTTGTGTCGTTTTATTGCTTTCTATTTATTGTTGCGTAACAAGTGGTATTAGAGCTACAATTGTTCGAGTTGCAAGATTTGTTGGTTTAAGGATGTCGTATTACAAGTTCGATTTGGAGAAGTTCAATATATCAAACGATTTAACATTGTGAAAGGTGAAGATGAATGCTCTTTTGGTTCAACAAGGTTGTGCGGTGACGTTAAAAAAAGAGGCAAAACTACCGAAGGATGTGGAGACATATGCGAAGGTGAACATTCTGGAAAAAGAAGACACTGAGATTATGTTATGCCTGACTGATAAAGTGTTATTGGAGGTTGTGGATCAAACGATTACTGTTCGATTTTGGAAGAAGTTGAGCGGCAGGTCAGAAGAATTCTCTTACAAATCGGCTATATTAAAAACAACGTTTGTAGACACTCAGTATGTCTAAAAGGTAAAGAATCATATTGATATCTTTAATTGTATTATCCTGGATTTACAATGTGTGGAAGTTAGGATTGATGAAGAGGATCAAGCTCTTATTTTGTTGTGTTCTCTACCAAATTCATATGAAAATTTTGTTGATACCATGTTGTATAATAGAATGATAATCACTTTCAATGACGTTAAAGATTCCTTGTTGTCCAAGGAACCGGAATGTAGGGTTTCTAGGAATGAAGAAGGTTCCAGTTCTGGTTTGTTTGTTGGCAGAGGAAGAACACGAGAAAGAGAGGATGTAAATATGATGAAGTCACGTTTCCAAATTTAAAAATTCTACTAAAGTTAAATGTTATAAGTGCAAGGAATAATGACATATTAAAAGAGAGTTCCACAATGAAGTAAGAGAAACGATAAGGTTGAATCAAGCAACAATTTTAGTGTTTTTGTGGTTCAAGATAGTTCCAACAAAGGTGACATAGGTGACGTTTTGACTGTATGTACAACGAGTTTACAAATTGATATCCTAATTATTCAACTTAGCTTAAACACAATAGGAAAAGTACCTAGTCGCACAATAGTAAAGTAGAGTAAGTAAGGAGCCGATCACATGGAACAAAATTCTAATTAGGAAAATAATGCCAAATATTAAGAAACAAACTTTAAAAATGGGGGGTTTTATCTGATTTTTCAAGTTCAGAAAAACTTAATCAAAGCAATATACTAAAACACTTTAAACTAAAACAAAGAACTAGAAAACAAGATTTGATGAAGAATTAAAAGATACTTCCATTTAGCTTCAAATCCTCCATTTTCCTATGGTTAATTTCAAACAATGGATTAATTCTATTGGTTACCAAATTAGAAGTTACTAGTTATCATGATCAGACTAACTAGTATGTGTCAATCTATGAACTTTACCCCTAATGATCATGCAAGTTAAGTACACTAAATTGATTTTAAGATATATTTGAATTATGAATGAATAAATCTATGAATTATCTATCTATGATCAAGATAAATAGTCAAACACATATTATGATGTAATAATGCTCTCTAACACAGTTAACCAACTAACTTTACCACCTATACTAGAGTATGGTCAGTCTCTAGCTCTAGCAATTTAATGATCATAAAAAACTATGTAAACAAGCTCATGAAATCAACGACCATTTAACTATAGAAAACTTGAGGACAAGGCAATAAATATTGAAAGTTTAACATGCTAGGATAATGATCTACCAAACACAAGCTAAAACCAACATCATTAATCCATAAAAGTAGAAACTAACACATAATATTACAGTTCATCTAATCTAAACGAAAGTAAAGGGTTATAATCCATGATTATAGAAGAAACACTTATAATTAAATAGCAAACTAGGTTAAACAGTGTAAAATCTAGGAAAACCGAATAATTAATGATGATTCCTAGCTTCATCTCACTAAAACTTGCTCTCCAATCGAATTCAGCCCCCAAGAGGGTTTTAGGTTGCTTTTAGCCTA